AAAGTAATTTAAGAAGAAATTCTAGAAATAACGACAGCGAAAACACTGGAACAAGAGAGATTAGGAAACGAAAAGTGAAATGATCATGTTACCGCAAAAATGTTAAATATTGGAGAAACTACAGAAAAGACTGTACTACTCAATAAATGTATTAACTATATTTGGAAAAACCTAAAACGATACCTAAAAAGGACTCAGTTTTGAATTATGAAGACTCATCACCAAAATGGTGGAAGTGTCAAGGCGACTATTTGGAAACTCCGGACGATTCTTGGTGCATCAAAAATTATGAAAAAAGTGGTTCGACAATGGACATCAAAAGCCCTAGACGCCCCCGAAGTCGCTGCAGTGAGCTAAATGTTGCTACTGTGAGTGATTATGTTATTAGTGAGTCCATAATTCACATGTATTCAGCAACAATGCTAAAAATCTAAAAAAATTTGTACTCAAGTTCATATAACATAAGAGGATAACGACGGCAATTCGTTGAATGGATCCTAGAAAGAAAACGAGGGGACGATGTTTTCTCTGATGGAGCTCACTTCCATTTGAATGGATTTGTAAAGCAGAGCACACGAGAGTACCTAATTCAAGAGAAAAACATGCAGACAGCTATGGTCACCCTCACTCCAAATTTCACACCAAGATTCGGAGTGGGGTAGTAATTGGTCCTTACTTCCTTGAAGACGAACAGGTAAATGCTGTCACAGTGAATTAAATCCGTTACCGTGAGATGCTCACTGATTTTCTTTGACCCCGTTTGGATCAAATGAACATCGAGAATCTATGGTTGGAATAAGACGCCGCGGCGGAAGTAACAATTATTACTCTGGTGCGTCAGAAGTTCCCGAACAGACCAATCTCCTTGCGAAGAGAACAACGAATTGAAACCTTGGTGATTTTTCTTATTATCTTATTTCTACATTATCCCGAATTTACCAAAACAAACCTAATAGATTCCTAAACTTGATGGGAACTGTAGAAAAGTGACTGAATAGATCCAAATAAACGAAAACCGACAAACTACTAAGAAAAATTTCAGAAATATCAAACGCAAGTTGGTACTTAAACCAGTAACAAAAACATTTCATGATCGGTTTCTAAAAATAGAACATAATCGAATATTGATTTCAAGGAAAATTGAAAATAGCTCTGCGAATATTGAAAACCTTCAAAAATCTTATTACGAGATATCATTAATATTTATGCAGATCAGAAAAATAAGAGATCTGATCAACCACGATAGCTCGCTTTTGACAGCTATTATACAGTGCCAATATTAATAATAATGAAAGAAGTGATTATATTTTTTGAAATAAATAGTTTTCCAAAAAGAAGTTCATGAAAGTGGACACGTAATTGGCTATTTGATTTACATAATGGTCTATTTTCAACTATAATCTTTTTCTTTAGGCTAATAAATTTATAATGAAAGATTTTCTAAGTAAATTAGTATACTTATATATTTCCACTAATTTGTAATAAACTTTTACATGTTTCGCTAATACTGTAGCTTTATCACAGAAGATTTTAACAGCCGTATGTAACATCCTCTTTTAACTTAAAAGCGCTTTTTAAAACTGGTCACTTGTAAAAAGTTGTGTTGCTCAGAAAACAAATTTTTAAAAGTGACCATTTGTAAAAAGCGCTTTTAAGTTAAAAGAGGATGTTGCATACGAACATAAGAATTTTATGCAGACATAAAAGTGAAATTGTCAAATATAAAAAAGGTAAAAACTGGTCTAATTTTATGTAAATCTAAATAGGTATTATACAAATAATAAATTTAGAATTTGGGAGTGGTGAATTGTTTAAATCTAATTGGTCGTTCAGTACACAGTCTAAATTTTTAAGTTTCTTTATTTCTAGAGATTCGAGAAGATTTGATTCTATAAGGTGATTTGCATAACTTGAGTCTGTTTTCTTTTTATTGAAACTATTATTGTGAAGTTTTTTAATTCTAGTACCAAAATTTCTACCTGTTTGTCCTATATACAGGGTGTCCCACTAAGGTCGGCCAGGTACGATATTATGGAGACCATAGACCTTACGTAACTTGAAAACGAATGCAGATATTGAATTGCGGTTTGCGCCAAAATGTAGATATTTTTTTGCTCTTGAAGCACAGAAATACAAAAATAATATTATGCCATTTGGATTTTTCATGAAAATTAGAAAATACTGGATCTTGAATAAACAGCGCCCTCTAGAAGACGCGGTGGGAACTATCGACCTCGAACGAAGTGGGGTTCTTAATAACAATGAAATTCTCTTCCAAATAAACCCAAATTGAATGAGTTTGAACGAGGGGTATGGAAGATACAGCAATTTCTAAAAAAAAAATTTCACCAGCTTCCCCCACCCTTATTACTGAAGATACGAAAAAAAGCCAAAATAACCGAACTGACGCAAAAATTAATGAGCTTTTGATTTCTGTTGTTAAAACAGTATCTTAATATAGCGATTTCTTGAAAAAAGTTGAATTTTTAGCTATATCGTAATTGCGCCCCCTAGCGGTCATCCTAGAAACTTGAAAATAATTTCCATCAATTTCTCTTGGCCGATTTAGTGAAGAAAAAAAAATCCCGAAGCCGTAAGGTCTATGGTTTCCATAATATCGTACCTGGCCGACCTTAGTGGGACACCTGGTATACTTTGATACAATCTTTACAAGATAATTTATAAACTCCAGATTTATCACATATTTTAGTTTTAGATTTATTATTTTTTAAATGAAAGCCTAATATTTTGAAAGCAACATTTATATCGTTTTTGTTAAGAAATTTGCTAATTTTATAACTAGCTTGTCCTTGGAAAGTAATAGTTTTAAAATTATTATTATTATGTAATTTTATAGGGTATACTAAATTATTAGCATTTTTCTATAGTTTTTTGCTTAGAATATCATCTTATTTATAGGAAGTGTTATTAATCGGTGTCATTTGTGTTGGATAGATGTATTGTGTATAACTGTATCAGTATGAGTAGGTTTATGAAATATAGAAAATTCATGTTTTTCGTTTATGTTTTGGATTATTAAATTTAGGAAATTTATTGAATAATTAGTTCTTTTTTAATGGTAAATTTTATGTTAGGGTGGATTTTATTAATCAAGTCTATAAAAATATCTAATTGTCTGTCTGTTCCAGTAAAACAAGTTAGAATATCGTCAACATATCTATGCCAAAAGAGAAATTTTAAAAAAATTGGATGTTAAATTTTGATTCAATAAAATCCATGAATACCTATTTCAGATAAAATAGGACTTAGTGTATTTCCCATTATAAGTCCAACTTTGCTAGTGTATATTTTATTATCAAATTCAAAATAATTTTGTCTAAGGCATTTTATCAAAACGATAAAAATTTCTTCTTTCTTAACAATATTTATAATATTTTTAATTAAGAGTTTTTCAACAAGATTAATAAAGTTTATTACAAATTAGTGGAAATATATAGGTATACTAATTTACTTAAAAAATCTTTTATTAGATCATGAATTTTCACCTAGTAGAAGCCGATTCAATAAAAATAATAAATTTATGTTGTATTATATTTACTTAGCTCAAAACTAATTAATGTTTAACATCATTGATTATTGTTTGGGTCAATAAGTCACAATAATTATTGTATCCTTGATTGATAAATTTATATTTTGATGAAAACATACATTATATTATTGTCGGAGAAAAAACATCCGAACCATTATTTCACTCTAATTTTCAATAAATTGAGTTAGTTTGGCTTGTGCTTGTATAGATTCATATGATTTTTCGTCATATCTTGGTATGATGTCCTAAATAAATTATTTTGTAATTTTCTTTTCCTAATCTATTGCATAGTTGTAGAATCGATGCTTGAAAATCTCTCAAGTTAAGCTCGACTTGTACTTGGAACCCTACTCCCATTAAAAATGCATTGCGGTCAAAAATCTTCAGATATATGACAGTAATGCGTTTTAAATGGGAAGTTCATTTTAAAAATATTCCATTTTCCGTCCCCTCAGTATTACTTAATTATGTAATCTATGATATAATGATTATTCTATATAGCAAAATGAAACTTGGCCATATAAAAAAATTTGGCAATGATAATTACGTATTTGACATAATGATGAAAAATCTCATATACACCACAAGTCGTAGAATACCTTTCCAATAAGTCCAAAAATCGCTTTATAGTTCAGGAAACGAAGGTTCTACTACGCAAATTCGATGGTAGTCGAGTTCTATTTTTTTTTCTAATGGATTATGAGATGCTGACCACGAATCCAGCATATTCACAAAAAAAAAAATCACCCAGATCACCCCGTTTCGAGCCACTGAAGGGGGTGGTTTTTGGTTTTTTTGCAAACCTCGCCCTTCCAGTGCGTTTAACATGAAATTTTTTTCTTGGTAAATTATAGAGGACTTTATTTCCTACAATTTCTTCAGCGGCAGCATTTGTCTATCACCTACCCTTAAGCGGAGGTTGGCACCACAAAGGCGACTACTTTTAGAAAGACATAACAATGCGAATCGACTTGAAATCCTACGGCTATTCATCATAGATGTATGACTGATTTTTTGGTATATTTTCCATAGATGGTCAATCGCGCATTTTTAAAATGCAGGGTTTCATCCCCTTAAAAACACACCTTTATATTATCTGAACGGCTAATGCTAGCGTGCTCAAATATTTAGGGGGTATTGATGTAGGGGTGTTATTTAAAACTTCCTATGGTTCCTATACTGTATCTCCACTTTTTCCCTGCAACCTCCCGAAAAAAATAAATAAAAACTGTTTCAAAAAGTTGTTTTTTTTTTCGAATTTCTACCACACCATAGTAAATAAAATTTCAATATAATATACCTACGCCCGAACTTATAATAACAAAAAATGCATGTCAGTAGACCTGTACAGAGTATTTTTTCCATTGAAAATATATTTTTAAATAAATTCCTGAATACAAAAAATAAACATGAATACATATTTTATTTTATAATATTTAAAAACACTCACCTGGCCTATTGAAAGATTGACTGTCATAATAACACACCACTTTGCTGTCCGCTGCCGATTGAGCCTGACCAACAAAATTGGCCAAAGCAAAAATTGCCAAAAGAACAATTTTTACGCACTCCATGTCACCAGATTATCGACTAAGCGACTACGAATCGAATAAATTCTTAACAATAATAATTCTTTGGCTTGCATATTACTTCGCGCATTATCATAATTTTGATGCCAAGTGGGGATTTAGGAGCAGTAAACAGCTTATTTGCTTGCGCGTAAAGGTGGTAATACACGACCGGATTTTCACTATATTGACTAAGAATAATTTAAAGTCTGTTTTTTTTTTAAAGATAAATTTCCAGTCAAAAATTAAGTAACACTGTTGGCAACACAAGCCTTTCCTACACAAAAAATTTGAAAGCATTGATAATTTTACATTGTATTGCCAACATAATGTCATTTTGACAGTTATCTTTAAAAAAAAACAGACTTTACGAAATTTCTGATGAATAAAATACGTTTATCTTCAAACGTCATATAACAGTAATTTATGTGATCATTTTGACCAAGGTATAAGTGTGACGTGTCACTTCAATGATTTTCAGCTTGAGCGACGTATAAGTGTTATACTCCGGCGAAACCCACTAGCAACACGCCACGCCACCCCACGCCATGTGACACAGGTTCACGTGGGACAGTTTGTGTGCAAATGGACGGATGGCGTGGCGTGCCATGTGACGAAAATGTATGTGTATATTCTTCCATTTATTTACATGTGTCGCGTACACACTTGTCACACGCGATACCACGCCATGGCACGCCACGCCATCCGACGTGTGACGATTTCAAATCCTCAGATGCTGCCCACGCGTGTTGGTACGTGTGAATGTTCCCCGGCCGCCTCTCTAGCCCCGCTGCAATCTGTTTCTTATTTATTCAATATTTTGTCGCGTCGCAAATAGTAGTACATAAAGATGCAGCAGGAATTCCTGATAAAAAAGGTACAGCAGTGCGAATTCCTTCTTTTTTGTCTTGTCTTTCTGAAGATTGTGTAAATAATCAAATTGTTCTCTCTCGATACGGAAGTACATTGTATCGACTACGATCTGCCTCCAGGTCCATCATTATTAATACATGAAAAGCACCATATTTTTCTCGATTCTTGTTTATTTTGTGCACCCGGAATCTTCTTTTTTTTTTGGTCTAAAAAATCAGAGCCGCAGCAGCACATTCTTCTAGAAACTGTAAGTCACTAGACGAACTTCTTCTATACTCCATAATGTACTCAAAGCTACTGACAATTTTTCTGAATAAAATGTATAGAATAAAATGAGCGTATCATCACGTGGCGTGTTACAAAGGACATCGCACACATCTTATGGGTTTTCGGGGACCGGTCGATTTTTTAAAAAATTTGGTATGTTGTAGTTCTAGCAAAAATAAGCATTTTTCATCATTGCACCAAATCTCTAAGTATACATGGTGACCCAGTAAAGTGGGTCCGGATATCATAAAACAAGTTTTTTAATTATCGATATTAGCGCACCCTGCAAGCTAGATTGTAGATTTCGGGGGAGTCGTTTCGGCTTTTCAGCCGCTCAGCACTGCTACCTTTGCAGATATTTTGTGCGTGACTCTGCATCTTAATTTGTCTCCAGGAAGCGTAGACTTCTACCGAAGGAAGCTATTTTCCTGGGTGTCAGTTGGCCCAGTTCTTCTGGTGACAGTGTTGCCCCCTCGAGGAATTTGAGCCTCTTGCAGAATTGGGCTGGACATTCGCAGAGCAGGTGCTCTGCGGTTTCTATTGCGTCTGAGCAGAATCTGCAGAGATCGTCTTCCGCTCTGCCCATTAACCTTAAATGGTATTTTACTGGTCAGTGTCCTGTGAGCAGTCCCACCACCAATCTGATGTCTGGTCTGCTCATGCTTAGGAGCTGTTCAGCTCTTTTTGCTGAAAGGGTAATAAACCTTTTTGACTGTCTGAGTCCCGGTGTGTGCCTCCAATATGATGACAGTTGGTCTTTCTCCCATTTGTTGAGTTCTTTCATGATGTGGCTTTTCATTAAGCCACAGTAGGGCTCTGGTCTATGGTATGGTGTTGAGGCCCCTTCCTTTGCGAGGCCATCTGCCTCTTCGTTTCCTTCTATGCCTCGATGACCAGGCAGCCATATCAGCGTTACCTGGTTATGTGTCGCTAGTGTTTTTAGGGTCTGTTTACACTCCCAGACTAGTTTTGACGTGCATTGGAAAGCCCTCAAGGCTTTTAAGGCAGCTGGGCTGTCCGATAGTATGAAGATGTGTTTTCTTTTGAGGCTTTGGTTAAGACACTCTTGTGCACATATATCTATGGCAAGCAGTTCGGCTTGAAATATTTTAGATGTTTACCCAATGCCTTGGAGAGCTTGAAGTTAGGGCCGGAAATGCCCAGTCCAGCTCCTACCATTAGCTTGGATCCATCTTTGTACCACAGAGATGCATTGTCTGCCTATGGTAGTTCTTTATTCTCCCATGATTAGCGGTCGTTTATCACCACTGCGAAGGGGATCTCTAAGTCCAATCTGACCATCTTGTGGTCACTTGGTTTGCTGGCATTCTCCAGTGTTATTAGATCAACGATTTTCAGATGTCCCCTCAGATCGCCAGGCTTGAACTTGTCTATTTGGAATAGCCTGTGAGCGCTGGTTATTGCCTCCTTTTTCACACATAGGTGAAGTGGAGGCATGTTGAGTAGAGTCTCTAGGGCTGCGGTGGGGCAAGTTGACATTGCTCCCGTTATTCCTAGACATATCAGCCTTTGCACCTTTCTTAGCTTAATCTGAGCGGTGACTTGTTCGGTTTTGGGCCACCACACCAATGAGGCGTATGTGACCATGGGCTTTATTATGGTTTGGTAGATCCAGAATACCATCTTTGGCTTTAGCCCCCATGTTTTGCCAACAAGTTTTCGGCATGACCAAATGGCTGATGTAGCTCGAGAGCATGTTTTCTCTAACTGTTTGTTCCAAGTGAGGGTTTGGTCCAGGGTGATCCCTAAGTACTTCACTTCGTTGGAAAATGTTAGTTGTGTACCGTTAAGGGTCGGGGCTTTCAAATTTAGCTTCCTTCTTCTTGTGAACGGGATAAGGATTGTTTTGTTTGCGTTTAGGGATAGTCCTTCGCCTTCGCTCCAATTTTTAACGATGTTTAGGGCACTTTGCATTCGGCTTGTCACTATACCTTCATGTTTGCCCTTGATTACAATGGCTAGGTCGTCTGCGTAACCTATGACCTGGTATCCAGCACTGCTCAGTCTGGTAAGAATTTTGTCTACCACCAGTGTCCATAGTAGCGGAGAAAGAACACCCCCTTGAGGACACCCTCTGACCGTGGTAGCGGTAGCTGATGCTCCGTTTATTTCAGCCGTAACGTGACGGTGCTTCAGCATCGACTCTATCCATTTTACAATTGGAACTTCAACATCCCATTCTTGTAATGCTCTGGCGATTGATTGATGTGAGGTGTTGTCAAAGGCACCCTCTATGTCGATGAAAGCTATGAGAGCGATCTCTTTGCACTCGATTGTCTTTTCAATGTCTTTAACCAGGCAGTGTAAAGCACTTATTGTGGATTTGCCTGGCTGATAGGCAAATTGCTTTGAGTAGAGCGGTCTTCTCAATAGAGTTTCGCTTCTGATGTACTGGTCGATTGCTTTCTCCATTGTCTTAAGGAGAAAGGAGGTTAGACTAATGGGACGATATGATTTTGGTTCGTCCTCGGGTCGGCGACCCGTTTTTGGTATGAATATCACATTAGCTTCCCTCCAAGATAGCGGTATGTGCCCTAGGAGCAGGCTTGCCTTAAAGAGCTTCTGTAGGTGTACCTTTAAGTACTCGTAGCCTTTTTGCAGTTGTGCGGGAAAAATCCCGTCTTTGCCTGGAGATTTGTAGGGTCTGAAGCTATCGATCGCCCATTTTATTCTGTTCATTGTGAAGATTTTCCCAGTCAGCCTTTTGTTCCTGCCGTTAGGGCTTTGTGGCCCTTCGATAGGCGGAGTGACCTGGTTCAGGGCTTCAACGATTACCGAACCTGGAAAGTGAGTTTGTAGTAGTACCTCTAGACTTTCTATATGGTCGGTACAGTGTTCTCCGTTTGGCTTTTTAAGCAGACCAATTCCGTTTGAGTGGTTTTTTGAAAGAACTTTTTGGAGACGTTGAGCTGGGGCTAATTCGTCAATCCCCTCGCAGAATTGTCTGCAAGCTACATATTGGGATTTTTGTTTTCGATTTCGCAAATAAATAGTCAAGATATGCCTAATATGCTATAAAGGGTGGCTAAGCAAGCGTATCTTCTAGAAATCCTGCCCTATTCTTAGAGATAGTGTTACCAAAAAGGTCGCACTGGCTTTCATTTGCTCGTAACTTTTTTAATGCCCAAAGTTATAGCACCAACTTATTAATTATTATACAGGGTGTCCCAGCCGAGAGTGACCCATTTTACATGCTAATCTATAACTTTTAAACCAGGTGTGCTAGCTACCTGCGGTTGGCACCATCCAACTTCTCTTGGCTTAGAGTTCTTTTTAGTTGGTTGCAAACTTTTTCGATAGGTACTAATTCAGAGCCAGGAAGGAAAAAAAAAAAAACGTTTTTTCTGACTGTTTTTAACCAATGAAATTCGCTCTGACTGGTTTTTGATTTCTGCAAAAACAGACGTTATATCACGCACGCTGAATATGTGTGTGTATCTCCATATCACGCGGAATTGTGACAACGGATGAATTGTGATTAGGTAATTACTCTGCGTGCATGCAGCGTCTGACTCAAAATGAGCGGCTGCAACCAGTGTCTGTACCCATATTGGGCGGCCGAGATAACACTCGCCAACACGCTTGGCAAGCGTGGCGTTTTAATTGCCATCAACCTTCCCAAAACCATGTTACAGTCGAAATCCAAAACAAGATTACCCCAGATGGGTAGAGGTCGAGCCTCATAGAATCCCATTCCGATATAAAATCGGGCAGCCTCACGGACTCTGAGGGAGGCAAGAGATCGACGAAAAACAACAAACCAAGGCAGACTATTTACATTGTTAATTATAATATAAGAACGATGAGAACAAGCGAGCACTTAGAGAACTAAAGGAAAAACTGAGAAATATTAAGTAGGAGCTATGCGAAACA